CTCACCATACCCCGCACCAGCAACAGTATTATTCTCAGTGAAGAGATGACATCGTCCTTCGTCCTACAGCCGCAATTTATCAAGCAAGTCCGATGCCCCAGCTCCTTGCCTCGAGGCTTCGTTTTCCCAGGCAGCACACCGAGCTTCGGCCGCCCAAGGCTCCTCCTGCTGTCGCCTCCCTTGTCTGCCCGTCCGTCTGATCTGGGACAGCACACCCTTCCTTGCGTCCGCGAACAAACGGAGGGCAGCCGCCACTGCCCTGATTCGGCTTGTTGCTTTTCAATTGGTGGTCTTGGGGAAACATGAACGAGAGACGCCCGCCCGCCAAGCTTCGTGTACTTCTGTTCGGCCGCCAAAGTAAGCATCTCAGCCATCTCGCCCTCCGGTCATCCGACGGTAGGGTAAGGCTGGCCATGCCACCAGCTTCCCGACATGCTCTACTTGAGCATATACACAGCAGTTTCTTGCCATCGGAGGAGGTTGGTTGTGCTGTACACAGGGTATACCGGTGGCATATGTATGTATGTAGGTACCGGTGACTAGTCGATGTAGACTAGAGCTGTGTGTACTGTACAAGTAGTATGTATTTTTTTTAATTTGGAGATTTAATAAAAGAGGAAAATTTTGTTTTGCGAACCGGCATCGCTGGGGACCGCTGAAATAGCCTGCGACTGGGTCGTTCTCGGAATGTTTCAGGCCGAAAAATTAGTAAGTCTATTCCGTCATGTCGCAACTTTTCAATTAGTCGGAACCTTTTTTCCAGCGTCGTGCGTATGCAAGTGTGACTCGCGCATGCTCGATCTACGACCTTTGATCAACAGCATCACAGACTCGAGAGCGGATGTTTCCAGGCTTATCATGAGGACGGTGGGGGCGAAGGCCACTGCGTCCGGAAGCCCTTGTATACACACAGATACATCGTTGACTCCGTCGTCATGTTATCAAAAGATTTCAAGACAACGTATGTAATTGTTGTTGACCGATTATGAAAAAACCACAAAGGACACCGGAAAATGCGCACGAGACACACAAGCAAGACCAGTCGGAACGCTGTGGATAAGCAACAGAAATCGATAATTCTCGAACAGGGCGGCAGTACAGGCTGCTCTAAACCTACATGTCATGCAGTCTATCTCCACACACCTCCTTCGAAATCAAGATCAAAATTCGCATCAGTCTAAATCAATGTCAACAGAGCCAGAATGGCAGGCGCTCCAAAAATAGTAGGTGTTGCAATATCTTGTTCATTCTACCGATATCACTAAAGGGCGCACTATAGCAACGGTGTGTGTGTTGTAGCGCTCAAAACTTGCTTCTTTGGTGGTGATATCGAAGGTCGTACAGCAGTAGCGGCCTACAATCTCCGCGAATTAGACCAAATGAGACCCACACCCAGTGTCTTGTACTGCTTGTGCTCGCCACCACTGACCCCAATCTCTTGAACTGCGGGTATAGTCCTCTGAAGTAGTTGATGCCACTAGCTACTGCTGACGTTCAGGTGTTTACGGTTCCGTGGCGGCGAGCACAAGCAACAAAAGACACTGGGTGTCGGTCTAATTTGGTCAAATTCGCGGAGAGTGTATGCATGTAGGCATCTACTACGTATGCAGATGTGTGCATACGGCTCTCGACATTTCAGCTCCAGCGGCATCCCTGAACGTGCCATCAAACACGACGCCTCTTTTTCATACTCACAACAGTAAAAGCATAAGATCTAAACGGCGGGAAAGGTTGTTTCATGAACATGGAGTCAGCACCAGAAGGAGATTGTCTTCCATCCCTTGATCGTGCCCGGTCGTTCGCGGCGGTTGCTCCATTCCACTAGAAAACAGCACGTGATGAGAAAGAGGGACAGATGGACTTTTTCCCTGGTCTTGATTGATCCGGGCAGCTGTAGAGTTTTTTTGCACCGTTCTTACCTAACCCTACTGTAGCCATAGTCCTAGACTATCCCTAACCCTAGCCATGGTCCTAGACTATCCCTAACCCAAGCCATAGTCCTAGACTATCCCTAACCCTAGCCATAGTCCTAGACTATCCCTAACCCTAGACATAGTTCTAGACTATATCCCTAACCCTAGCCATAGTCCTATCCCTAACCCCAACCCAAACAACGCGACCCAAAGCTGTACAGCAGTGGTAAGCGCTACAATATTGCAGTTGTAGTTCGCTCTACGTTTGGGCCTGCTCTGTGTGTGGTACAGCGGGAGGCCCTCTATAGCGCCGGTGCCACGTAGGGTGCCGGTGTTTCCCGCTCGCACACACTGATACACCAAATCAATCTGTACTCTGAAAAGTGTCGGTGCTCGGCACACACCCTGGCACTATAGTCTAGAGGGCCCCCCACAGTACACGTACGTATATGCCGCCGCGCAATAAAATACAGGAGCTCCAAAATCTCGTCGTGTACCCCTGCGCCTCGGGGGTCAAAACTACCATACCATATAACTGCTGTCAATCCCGTTCAGCGGCAATGCCCTCAATAGCGGTCGTAACATATTGTGACACTTTGGACCGCGAAACCGGGACCACGCCTGCCTGCCTGCACAGAGAATACCACAATATGTTGATGTGGGTTAGCCGCGGCGCGGAACAGGTGAAACACTACGGTAGGTCATTGCTGTGCGTGTAAGCCTAGAAGCCGCGGCGAAAGAGGGGGTTGGGACCAGGTCGCTGTACATGAGCCTCAGCCGCCGCGCAACAGAAAATGCTACTTGGAATATATGCATAGCAACATAGCAAGGTAAGTCGCGGACCAAACAGCTGCACCCTACAGTAGTACATACCCAAGGAACGTTCCTAGAATTCGCTACTCACCGACGAAGAAGGCACCCCGCCAAAGCGTGGGGGCCAAAGACACACCAAACGTCGCACGCAGAAGTTGCAGGCCATAGATCTTCTTTCTCCACGTGAGCGCGAGCAGGCAATTTGAGAGTAGCAGAGACTCACAGGACCAGGGACTAGAGAGCTAGAGAGAGAGGGAGCACAACCCACCCCCCCCGCCTCTTCAAGAGAAAAAAGTCGTCAGCTGGCGTCTTTTGATTGGTCAGGAACGACGCCCAGGTCGGAGTTTCGCCGCTTCCACAACTCCCCGATGTCTCCTGCTCTTGTCCTACAGCAGTACTTCACGCCACACTCTCTCGATTGCTCGACACTCCCCACCCATTGTCTCTGTCGGTCATGGAGCTTCCCGTGGCGGTCTCACCCGCGTGTCAGCCGCCCCCGCTGTCACCTCTAGCGCTGGGCGGCGGCAGCGAGAGTCACGGCCCCGATGGTTGGGACGCAGAAGACTTCGACTTCGAAGAGCTTTTCCGAGATGCGGAGGAGATGGGGGCCGGAACGGCCAGCAGCGACGGCAACCCGGCCGCCGCCGCCGCCGCTGCCACCGGCTCGCCCGTCGACATGAGTGACATCGACCTCAGCCTCAAGGCCGAGTGGCTCGAGAGGGACGCTCTCTCTCCCGCAATGCCGACTCCGATCACTGCTGCTGCTGCTGTTGAGCCAACAAGCGGCGGCACCCCCTCGCCCGCGGCGGACGTGACCAGCCACACCGTGAGCGAGGGCGACATCAGTGCCGGTGCCGGGATGGCCACGCGTACCGCTACCACCACCACCACCTGGTCCACCACAAGCGTGTCCGAAGAGAGCGACGATGGCGGCAGCAGCTGCATCATGGGAGGCGGAGTTTCCCCCGCGCGTTCCAACGACAGCGGCAGCAGCATTCAAGCACCCAGGAGCACCGTAAGCGAAGCTAGCACCGCTGCCGCCTACGCCGCGGCCGCCGCCGCCAGCAACAACAGCAAGCGCCTGCTGGCCGTGAGCTCGGGCGCGGGCACGCCGATCCTCCCTCTCGCCTTCACCCCCAGGTTCAGCGGAACAAGCAACTCTAGCGCCGCCGCCGCCGCCGCCGCCCTATCCGCCTTCCCCGCTCTCAACTTCAGCGGCTTCCAAGCGGCAGCCGGGCAGGCGTTGAAGCGGCTTCGAGGAGGGGATGCGCCAGCGGGTGCCGCTTCGGGGCAACCTTGTGCTGGAGGAGGGGCGGCGGCTGCTACGCCGACGCGGCTGCTGTCGGGCGGCGAGGGCGGGGCGGGTCGGATCACGAAGAGGGCCAGGCGGGAGGAGAGACTCATGAAGAACAGGGAGGCGGCGAACAGATCGAGAGTGAAGGTGTGTACATGTTCTTTGGTATTTCATCAATGCGTGGCAGACTGCGCTAACCGGCTGACCAATGAAAAGACGCCAGACATACAGCAGTTGTAGTGCGGCTAAAAAACAGGGTTGGTGTGTTTACCTTGAGCGCTTCTAAAGGCCATGGTGCCGTGACCTTCCATCAGGTGTCTGTGCGTGTGTCCGTTGTAGTCTGGGGGAAGAAATCAAGGCTCTTGCGGATCTTCTCTCTTGGCGCAAATGATCAAGTTCTTTGGGTGCACAACAGCAAGTAGGCGATAGAAGTGCGTAAAAAGCTGTTGCCTCAACTAGTACCTATATCACTGCGATAGTAAGGTGAGGGCATTGGGTGCTGTCGTGTCAAAAGACTGCGGTGTCATGGTATCAAGGCTTGCGTTTCTCAGGGGTAGGGCGCACGGGGCGTCTACATGCCCGGCGCGAATTCGTATGGCGGCGGGCTGAAACCGAGACATGACCATAAAAACAAAATGAAAAAGTAGACTTGTCGACAAACCGAACCCCACAAGCTTGGTATTGTAGCGTGGAGTTTTTTTTCTCATCGAGTTGTTCGCTGGGATGCCGAATGCGTACAAGATTTTCAGATGCTAATCCTGTTTTGCGCTCTGTGGAGCGGCACTGCAGTAGTGGCAGCAGTCAGCTGTAGGTTTACCGTCCCGCCATTTTTTTGTTGTCTGCGGTTGCCTTTAGCTTTTCCTCCGATGATCGCGTCACATGCAGTATGCGGCCGGCCGTGCGCGCCTGCCTCCTTGCACAACCCGTCTGTAGGATGCTCTCCTCTTTTTTTCTGAAACAGCGGTGTGACCTTATTTTTTGTCGCCCCCCCCCCTCTCAGCGGGTCGTGTTATGGACCATGTGTTAATGATTTGCCTGCGTCATGGCGGACTTGAATCACGGGACTCAATCTCCGAGCATCTACCACAGAACACGGAGCACTGCCCGACGCAAACCCCTTCTGTATGCCGATATATTTGCACAGTCCAACCAAGCACTATTGAAACCGAATGAACTCTCTCTCTCTCTCTCTCTCTCTCTCTCTCTCTCTCTCTCTCTCTCT